TATAATAATAATCAGTGGTGCTACAACCATTTAAGGTCCACCTCAGATTTCTGTATCTGTTTCATGATCATTTGTCAATGCAAGGCAAGTAGGTGACCAGCCTTCTGTGCCTGACACACGCCGTCGACTTTTTGGGTCTAATGCAAGCCGGTTTCCTAGATGTTTTCCTTCACCGTTCGAGCGAATATTAAATGCGCACATAGACAGAAAGTACATTGGTGCCGGGGATTGAACCTACGACCTCTGGGGTGAGAATCGCACTCTGAAGTCACTAGGCCACCACTGCTCTAATGAATACATACATTTTTTTATGAACTATATTAGGTTAATATATCAAAAATTGTAAACATTGTCTTCAAAACGGCTATATTTGCAGTTTTATCGCCTTAATATAATCAACAATATTAAACACGTTTAATTAATTAACTGGATATTTTGGTAATTTGAGCGCGTCTCTTCCAAGAGGTAGAAATTAATAGAACAGCCAACTCATTTACAAGCATAATATTGTTTATAATAAACGAAGGCATTAATCTATCTCCATTCTCCTTCAAATGAATTGTGCTACTTAATAAAGATCGCCGCCCGCGGGTGTTTAGCCTGCCACAAATTTATGCAAAGGTTGGGGTGCGTAATTAAATTATTTAAACTATTAAAATTTAATTTTAAAGCCGAAAATAGTTACTACTTCAGTTTATAAATCGCTTTTATTCATAAGCTTTAAAATTAGCATCTATTAAACAAAGTTATGGTTCGAACTTCGAGTCCTGACCAAACGTGCATCAGATCAAATGTTGAATGTTCTAGGAAATTGCAATTGGCTAAAATATACGCCATTTATGTAGTTAGAAATAATCCACTAATTGTTGACTTGTTTATTAAAAGTAAAAGTGTTGGAGTCTTATTAATATTCTTTATAGTATATAATATATAGTAAAGACTGTACCTAATAGTATGAATAAATGATAAAAGGCAAAGTACCTATTTTTGGTCAAGATATACGTTTTAAATTATTTTTCCGGTAATATAAAATAACACTTTTATATTTATTGTTTAATTTAAAATCGTTTCGCGTGCGTTTCATTATTTTCCTTCGCGTGCTTAAATAATTGTAAATTGTGATAGTTTTAACAGTTTACAATGCTACGAATTAAAAAGATTATAGGGCGACAAGCCTATTATTAAGATTAATTACTAATATATTGTTTAATTAAGTAGCCATTCACATTTACAATTATTATAATATTAAGAAGTATAAGATAACATTAGAAATGTCCACTTCCTTTATTTTATTTGAGAAGGAACAAGTTCTCGTAGCAATATTCATTACTTCACTCAAATTAAGTCTTATTTTGCGTGACATCGTTTGCCTTTCTTATTTAAGAATTAAGGAAGGAATTTTGCTCAGTAATTATGTGGCCCGACAAATTGCATATTTCTCCTTCAAGACGAAAGTAGGCACTTAGCGTTGTATAACGGATAATTTATTCCGTTTTATTAACTTGTTGAATTTTATTTGTGTCAGTCTTAAGACTTCTACGCATATCCGGCATTATAATAAGAATATTACGTCAAGAAAAGTACCACTTAGCTACTACAATATAATTATGTAGGTACTAAGTACAACTATTATAATTATAAAAGTATTCAATGTTCAAATCACCGAAAATCAAAGAAAAAATGAATAAAATTCTAAAATTCTTAGAATGTTTAAGTAAGCATATGCATTTGAAACATGCGTTTAAAAAATACTCATAACAATATATATATACAGGAATGTTAAAATATTTGTACAATCTAGGTGCATAATCTGTGTTCTTTATCGACCGCAGACAAACGTCAGTTTGTTATTTATGGCGGGATTATATCGCGGGTTCGGCCGATCGGCAATATGGCAGGCGGTGAGCTAAGCCGATGATTTAAACAGCTTAACGATTTAGTAAAACGTAAAAGTAATTAATCATATTTTTGATGTTTCGAACGCATCTGGAGTTTACTGAGTTCCTTGAATTTTAATTGTATTTTTGTGAGTCTCAGTATTCTTTGAAAATTTATGGTTTATCGATATTAGGTAAACGTTGTAATAACATTGTAAGTAGGTATTTGGTATATGGCAAGAGATATTCTTCTTAACATTTGTGCCATTATTTATAACTTACTTTAACAATTTGAACGCTACTACCATATCATAGTAGTTTCTAAACACACATGTAGTCAATCCAAAGCAGTTCGTTTTACGCCAAAATCAAAATAGGGCTTTAGGTTCAATCATCACCACTCATAGCATATTAACGCTTTTTTACAATAGGACGCTTTAAAAACGAATTACGAGTATAAGGCTGTTAAATGTTAGTTTATAAAAATAAATTTTCACTTTTAACGTCAACAGTAACCCAGGTTTTAAAACTTTTTATTAATTTAACTGTACGTATTTAAAACGACCCATTCGTAATCATTACCCACGCTGTTTAAAATAAATGAATTTAAGTACGTTTAGAATAACAGAAAGAAAAGAAAATAAAAGACTCCTTTTTTCACATAAATTTATTTCTTCATATACATTATGTATAATTTGCGAATCCACTGTGTCCCGGGACGCATTGCGGGATGTATTTTTACAAAATAATCGTATATTCTACGTTAATTACATTCATTCATTCCCGCCATATTAAATGCACTAACATATAAAACTTAGCTGTATGGCAAAACTGCAATTCAAAATATACAGAACGCAAGATTTCATGTTGTACCACGGGTCATTGAACCAGACATTAATTAATCCAACTTAAAATTAATGGGCATTCTATAGTGTTACCTAAAACTTATTTTTAACAAAAGTACAAAAATGTTACATTACGTACATTTAAATTAAGTAATTTTACATTCACAAATTAAGAACACAATAAAATCAGTCTTACTCCTAAAACAAAACATGTTTTCAAAATATACTTTGCTCAATTAAGTCATATTTACGTCTGACATTATTTCATGAAATTTATATTCCGAACTGACAATGGGCACTCAAATGATTTTACAAAAATATATTTTGCAGTACACAATCCCGGTAAAAAAATATTTCACTTTTATTGCGTAGGCATGATCAGAATGCGACGTTGTTTAATTATGGCCGGGTATTTCAATTTTAAATAAGTAAAGCTGCCTAAAACATTTTCAACACGCATCATTTGAATATTTGTTGATAATACTGATTTTCCGAATAAGTCAATAAAAAAGCTGCCCCTTTTAAGCCAACGTGAAGCTTTGAAACGCGATTTATCAACGAGTATTAAATTTTCACTATCCAATAACAATATTTTAAAAATCTACGTAGTTATTCCACATTACAATATTTAATAGCTACCGGAAACGATTGGCAGTTGTCGATAATTTGAAACGACGTGATCAAATGCATCGTACACTAGGTTTCGAAGCTCAAGTTCAACTTATACGTAGATATATTTAGGTAAGATTGTATAAAAGAGTGGAAAAAACCTAAATCGTAATTACAAATACTAGAAGGGAATAAAGAAATACTACACCTACGCTTACAGTATAGGAGTTTCATGGCTAAGAAGCAGGAAATAATTAAAACGTTACAGATAAGACGCCACATAATGTCGATAAACGACACCTACTCATAACATTACATCACACCGAAACAATTTTCTACCTAACGTTAGATATGTCATTAATCACTGTCTATTCTCGTAGTGGCAGTGACGTTTCACATAAAAGAACTGGGCAAGTCAAAAGAGGATCTATGTAAAAAATTAAAACTATTTACATTAAACTACGCACATGACATAATTTCACACGACACAGCCGATTCGTCTAAGTTTGTCGTTACACTGCATTAATGAAACATTACCACAATTTACACTACTTAACGTCTTTAACACCCGATATGAAAAATAAACTTCTAATTACAGCTGCAATAACTATTTATACATTTTATAATATAATGTATCGTATATGACGCGGCGCCTGCTGATGGCTTTTATAATACTTATTTAAAATATAAATCTTTAAAACTATGGGCTTGAACTGGGAAAAGTTTGTATCGATGACAATTGACAGCTGTCAAGCTGTCAAGTTACAAAATAATTCGCGGGACATCTATTGTTTACTGGCCGATGAAGTCTGTGTAATACCATCAGTAGTCGTCAGCATAATGTGATTAGAATATCATAACCCGTAAACCACTAAGCGCACTGATTAGGATTTTATTCTCTAATATAGCAAATAATCGTTCACGGCTCAATATACGGTTAATTTAATTAGATTTTCCAAATACTTTAATATAAATGCATAAAATTCCATAATAGTCGATAGGTCAGATACAATCGAACAGCATAAAGCCTAAAGTCGATAGAGGTATAAGGTTATATTGCGAACATTTTAAAAGTGTATGGCGAATATACGTTGTACGCAAACTTACACTTCTGCCCTTTCCCTCATAATCATGATTAGTGGTCATAGTTATCATAAGTATTAACATTTTCTAGGCACTGATACATAATAGCCTCTCATTAACCATACAGCGGTTGGAGCGACTTAGTGACGATAAGCCTCATTGAATCTATTCTAATTATACATATTTTAACATTAAGTCGGTTTCGTGAAATGGAACGTGTCGTGTAGTTTATTGTCTTCTTCGGTCCTTGTGGCTTTGAATATCGTTGCTCAACCGTAATAGATAATATTTTTAAATAACATTTACGTAATTTGCAATAGGTTATAAAATAAATTTAATTATGTTATGTTAACAAAAGAGTGATCTGATTGAGGAACGATGGATGTTGGAGCACGATATTTGTGCACTTAGCTCACTCACTCACAATAACGATACAGAATGGTTCGTGAAAAGTTAACTGTTCAAAAACTGAAATGTTTTTGATGTTTTGAAAGCGAGGTGCAAAGATATCGCGACTTTGTATGAATGATGGACGACACGTAACCGAGAGTCTTAAGATGGAGACTTAGACAAGTATGTCTCATCGTCAGTTGGCGTAGTGGTCGAAGGAGCCGAGGTACTCCAGCGCAGCGCGGTAGCAGAATTCGTACTGGTCCTGTGTATAAATATATTTTCAAATAAAACTTCTATAATGTACGCGAAGTTGCTATTATTTACGAATTAATGCGCGAATCAAACAATAATTAATATTAATATTGTAAAATCAAATACCATAAGTAAAATATTAAAATAAGTAATTTTCTTGTCATAACAATTTATATCAATTTTTATAAATGCTATTGGTTTACATTTCTGAATGTATCTTTCTAATTATTGGCCTTTGTCTTGTATTGTTACGCTGGGAATCGAAGCTAAAATATCGCAGACAAAACCCGAATGCGGTTCAACCCGCAGCGTAGTTACCTCAGTTTGCACCATGGCGGGTCTCTGCGTGCGTAGAGTGCGTACAGTTTGGAAAACGTCAACCACCCCTTCGTACTGCATACGTTCCAGCACTGTCGACAGCGTTATAAAAACGCCAGTACGACCAACACCAGCACTGCAAATACATTAAATAAAAACTACAGTCAAAACCGTTTACGACGACATCGTTTAGAACAACATACCATACCATGGTTATATTGACCAAAATCAAAGGCCCCGGCTGAATTCTATTGTATTAGGTACTTTACGACTAAATAAGAGTAGTTCCTTCGATGTCGTTATAACAGATTTTGACTGTATATCAATATTTTATTACCAATTAAAACGTTTTTTTGAAAGCGGCTTTAATGGGCTGGATAGATATCAGCTCGAGATGGTAGGCAAAGGACAGTTAAAAATAACTATGTTTTAGTTAATATTAACAATATTTTTGTTTTAGAAACAAAAAACTTACAAAGATACAACACTAACATAAGTTTTGTTATTTTTTGTAAATTAAGTTTATCTTGTAAATTGTTCGCGAATAAAGGCCATTTTTTATTCCTTCAATGCTTTAAATGCAAAGAATATATTTTTTGACATTTCTATTAATTTTTGACACATCAACCATTGAGCATAGTCATTAGTCATAAAGGTATTTTATAATGTAAACAAACCTGCAATGTACGGTAATAGGCCCGTCTTGACCAAACTGTTCCTTGGTTTTATGAACCTGCCCCAAGAAGTCTATGAAGCCTTCCCCACTCTTGGGCACGCCCTGTTCCGGCCAATCGGTGAATTGGAACTGGCGGACTGTTCGAGATGCCCCGTCGCGTGCGTCTGTTACCTACATAATAAAAATAATACATGAATTTTTATACTATATATGAAGCATGATCTTTGGACATTTTTCTTCACACAAGTAGATAACATTTTAATATTTAATAGTAAATATATTTAGACAAATGAAAGGCAAAACAAAAATTCATAATGGTTCGTAATAAATTTAGGTCAAACTTTTTGTCATCAATGCCCATAGAAGCTGGTGGTTAGGTACGTCAACTGTTTTGCACGAAATAAAATGTTAAATGAGAACTAAAGTCTGTTTGAGTTTTTAGCATGGGCTCAAGTAACTAATATTAGAGTCTCTTGCTAGTTAGAGCTTTACGAAGCACACTTAACCACGAGTTATGTAAATAATGTAATAATAATAATGTATTCGCGGTATTTAGAGAATCTAAATATAACTTTTTTATTTACCTTGAATTCCCTCAAAATATACTGAGGCATATTGTATTCAGCAATTGGATCAACGACAAAGCACTGATAGCGGACAGACCGGTCCGAAGGCCAGTATTGATGACATTTTTCCTGAAATAATTGTTACATTATAACGTTGTAATCATTCTTAAAAAGACAGTATTTTTTTAACTTTAAAACAAATGAAATTCTATACTATTGACAGCCTAGTACTACCACTTTACTTTATTGACAGAATCATGACAAGATAAAAGAGTCACTCACCCGTCCCATTTCTTTCAATTTCGTCAGCATCACTATAATTGTAGAGTTATGTTCCCATAGCATACGCCAGAAGTCATCCGTTGTGTCAGGAAGAGGGCCCTGAGTTGCAATATAAGCAGCCCTGTACCTATATCCATCCACGAACGAAGCGTTGATATAGTCGGAGCCATCACGAGGTGTCAAGCACACACGCGTCGACTCGTACGGCAGAATGTGCACCAGCCTATTCTTATGCTTATTGCACGGTAGACTCGCCGAAACAAAACGGCTAGAATCGGCTTTCATGTTAGCCAATTTCTTAAACTCCAGTTCCATCCCAGTTATATTTTCAATAGAATCGATACGCATCAGCTTCTGAATGTGTGAGTGCAGGTTCCGCGCTGGTACCTCTGTATCACCGCAGATCACAGCTTCGAGTAAAGCGTCGTGGATGAAAATGTATTGGTCTTCAGTTTGCACCATGTAGTTGCGTTGCGCGCGTAAGCAGGTCACATGGCCGTAGATATCCACCGTGCGTTCGTGTCGGGCTCTTTCTAGCATTGAATCAATTACGATGAAGCAGCCGGTACGGCCTACACCAGCGGAGCAATGGACAACGAGTGGTCCAGCATCAGGCGGGTTCAAAGCTCTTACACGTCGCAGGAATTGTAAGAATGGGGCTGGGTGGTCGGGAACGCCATGATCAGGCCACGCTGTAAACTGTAGCTGCTTGACTTCTCGCCGTTCAGCTCCACCGTTTCTAGTCAATTGGAAGGTACGAATGCAGTACGTTGCTAACTCCTGGACTTCAGCAATAGTCACGGTCATCATTCCGTAAGATTCACTTCCTCGGCTTGGCCAATACTGATCGCACTTGATTCTAGTTCTCTCTTCAAGTTTTGTCATCATGACAATAGTGGAAGTTCGTAATTCCCAACACATTCGCCAGAAATCTGCAAATGTTTCTTGCAAAGGTCCTTGTGTGGCAACATAGGCGTTATGTTTTCGATAACCGTCGCAGTAGTTAGCGTTAATATAGTCACTGCCTAGAATACCATCGATTGGTTGAAGAATGACGCGACTGTGGTCATAAGCAATGACATTGGCGTAGCGGTTTTTCGGTTTGTTAACCTCCATATTAGAGTGATCCCAAGTAAATTGCTGACCAGGTTCTATGCTTTCGTACTCTTGAGAAAACTTAAGATTATCATTCGATTTCAATCTGTCAATATGCTCAGATAACTCAGAAATAGGAATCGGAGGATGGGATATCATAGCTGGGGTTTGGAAGTTAAGCCTTCTCATTTCCACAGGATCTGAGGGTGCACCAAAACCTATGTCGGCGGACATTAGCGGTCTTGTAACGGCAGCTTGGTCGGGAGTTTTGCATGGTTGTCTTCTTCTCTTTACAATAAATAACAATACTAAGCATAGTGATAACATAAGCGCAGCTATTATTGGACCAACAACCCATACCATGCCTGCTTCTTTTCTGTTTTCTTCTATTCTTATTTCTGGATCACCATTGATATCCTTAGGATCTGGTCTGCTTGGTTCTTCGCCTGGGGGAGCTTCTCGCATATCAAGTGATAAATATTCGGAAAATGGGCTAGATGTGTAAAGATGTTTCTGCGGGGTGTCAACGACCGCTCTAACAAAAACTCTGTATTTCTTCTTTTGGTGAAGCTTTCTATTAAGAAATCCTTCATACATTTCATCATTGCCAAGATGGAACGTGTATAAAATAGTCCTTTGTATGAATTTAGCGGCAATATATGGTGCGTTTTCGTCATCAGTTCTAGCGTTATTCTTAATTAAATTTTCAGTCAAAAATTGATCGGGATTTTTATGATTGTGTGCTTTATCATCCGGCACGACAACCACATAGTAGTGTGAAATGGGTCCATATTCTTCCGAAGCTTGAGGTAGTATAACAAGTATTTCGTTTTCAACAACACCGTAAAAGTCTGGTTTAACCATTGGTTTTGGAGCTGCCATTTGAGTTGTGACTGTGATTTTGGTTGGTGGTCGATAGGACTTGTCATTAGGAATGGCACTTATGTTAACATAGTACGTTGTAAATGGCGAAAGATCATTAATAGAATATGATGTTCGATCATGTTTTACAACAATTTCTCTTTTAGGAATTTCTTGTGTTTGCGTCATGCCTACAGAATCGACAAACTCCTTTATAGCATTATATGAAATCTTATAACTAACGGGATTTAATCGTAAGGGCGGGGACCAAGACAGAGTCATAGAATGGGTGGACACGTCTTGAGCTCTTAAATGTAACGGCACTTCTTCCGGCCTTACTTTTACCTTTATCTTTTCGGATAACCTTCCCAAACCATCAGACAGTTTTGCTGCGACAGCAATAGCATATTCAGCGAATTTTTCTAAATTTTCTAAGTCGGCTGAATGCGTCACATGAACCGTTTTTTGCTGCCACTCATCCAAATCTTCTACGGGTGTCATTGTATAGAATATAACATAACCGATTAATTTCTTCCTCGATGGAACAGTTTCCCACCAAACTTCTATGCCAGATTCAGAAGTAGCCACCGCTTTAACTGACATAGGTGCTCTACCTATATCTCGTTCTGTATGGGCCGTTATGTCCTTACTGTATGGTCCCACTCCTTGATCCGTATACGCTCTAACTTTGAACACATAATGGGCATCCTCTTCCAAGCCCGTAAACACGGCTTTAGTTAGTTCTGTGGTCCTTTCAATGAGTGACGCTTGATCGCCTTTTTTGTAAAATTGCACGTCGTACTTTCGTATCTGCCCACTCCTATCTGCTCTTATTGGGGTTTCCCATGTAATACTTATGATGTCGGGTGTTTGGAAATGATAAGTTACATTCGTTGGTGGCCCTTTAGGTGCACCTTCTGGTGTAAGCCAATATTTTATAGCTTCCTGCCCAATACCTATAGGATTTCTACCAGCTACACGAAACTCATATTGGACACCTCTTTCCAAATCGTTAATTCTATGTGAATTTACTTTAGTACCAGAAAAGTTAATTTCCTCTAAAGGTTGATCCTTGATTCCATATCTCAACCGGAAGCCTAAGAGATCACCATAAGTTTGTGTGGGTTTAGCCCATTCTATTTCTATTGATACTATAGGGTCTCGTTCTAAAATCCTGAAAGAAGAGTATACATTTAAAATGGTCGTTTTAATGTTGGAAATGTAAGCTATTTTATAGAAGATGCACTTACTTTAGATTTACGGTAGGTCTATTCGGTACTCCACCCGGTGTTTTAACTGATACGGGCGGACTTCTGTCACCATCACCTTTTCTGGTAAGAGCTGCTACTTGGACGTTATATCTAGTATCGGGTTGCAAGCCAGAAACGTTCAACTCCAATGTAGTGTCATCCATAACATTGAAACGCATTGGATCGTTAAGAAAGCCTTTCCCCTATGAAAAAAACAATAAACATTAATTACATATGAAAAAAATATATCTGTTTATGTATAAATAATTTCTAAAAATTGATTGTCCTTCAATATTTTATGTATGGTCTATCACTAGTTAATCGCCTTTTCATAAAGCATCTCTGTTAATATTGTTTTTATATGTTTCTGAGATCGGGGACTGTTGTCATGCAATGCAGATAGTGCATCAATATTACAATTCTTACATAATTGTTGCCCCGGGATCATAACTCGGTATTAACGATTGCTGTATATAATAAGCCAGGCACAATCCACTACGACAGAGTAATAAATAGAGAAGAATACGATGTATTAAGACAATGTAAATGATCTTTACCTCTTCTTTAACTTCTTGCACATGGACATGATAGCCTCGGATGATGCCATTCTTGTCTTTTTCTTGAGGCGGCTTCCAAGTCACGTGAATAGACGTGGAGTTGATGGCGTTTACTTTGACATCTTGCGGTTCCCCAGGCACTGTGAGTAGAATTAAAAGTCAGATCGTCCGAGCCAATAAGTGGTATAGGTGACCTAAATGCCCTATCAGCATCTACGAGAGCGTTCTAAGAACTATAAGCCTGTCAAATCTTAGTTGAAGCTCAGATTTTGCAAATGTGCGGTCGGTAATCCCCCTCGTCGTTGCTGATAGAGTATTTGAGTCGCGGCGGTTTACGCCTCAGCATCTCGATCGGGCATTTGAATACCAACACACACTAAGAATGTAAAATTTTACACCCCTTTACATCATAACTAAAATAAAACCATTACCTTTAAATCCAATTTATTAAGATCAACTAAAATTGTTAAGCGTTTCAAGGAGAAATACATTTAGTTAAATCTATTAGTAATCCAAAGCAGCTTTACTAAAACAAGGCCGTTTACTCATTTGTTATACACACACTGCAAGGGATCACGCATAAGGTCTCAAAAATATTTCTCAACATTACGGCGAGTTCGTGAAAAGAAAATACACAAATTTCATGCGCATTTACTTTTAACCACTTGCAGTTTGGTTCATTATCGGTTAGTTCTAAGAAGGACAAACTACAAAGCTAAGGCACAAGCACAAATGCACACCTGTACAAGCACTATAGTAATGTATACTCACTCTTTATAGCTGTACGGTTACCAGCGGCCCATACAAAGTCAGTGACGAGAGAAAAAAAAGAGAAAAACGCATTCAAATACATTTAAGACAAATTGTGCGAACATTGCAGGGCGAACGGAACTACTCAGTGAGAGATAACGAGTACATCTTGTCGGCAATAATATAGGGACTCTCTTATTTCAATTCCTCGTATATTTTGAGCTCTTTAGGAGGCGCATTCAGGTTAAGCCGCTTGGGACGTCGACGACAATGTCGGTTTGCATGCAATGCCTTTCTCTGCTCACATCGACAGCGAAACGAAAGTACGAATTTATTTTTCGCTTGGGGCCTGAATGTTTCGTACACCTCGTGTTATATCTTATTTGACATAAACTATTGAAGTGCGTCAGCCGTATGAATAGAGAGAGGCTTTGCACTAGCGGCTCATCTTATTCCCTGAGGCAGACGATTCACTCACACGCACATGTATTGATTAACGCGACGGCGTCGTTGTGTGTGTGCTTCCTCTGTGTAATCTTGTGCGCCTCTTTCCTTATGTGTGTGTTTCATACCTCGTGTGGTCCACTGTGAGTCTGTAGTGTCATAGTGTGATTGTCCGATGCTGTGCACTCCTACGAACTGTTTTGTATCAATTAAACGAACTTAACAGTTGATCAAATCTTGCGCTCCTCGTATCCCTTGCATTCCGTGACGGCAATAGCACAATAGTATTTTGTATGTCACAATATCTAGTGTTCATGCATGACGAAAGTTTGATAGAGTATACAGAAGAGAGAAGAAGACAGAAGATGCTACTTGCGATAAGTTGTAGCATAAGAGCAAGTGAGAAAGATAGAGGGAAAGATAATAGCGCGTAGTCTATCTGAGCTGAGCGGCCGGGGAGTCGCTTGAAGCGTCGCGGATATGATCCGTCAGATCGTTTCCGATTAGGCCAATTGATTAAGAATTAATTTAGTTCGGATCTTCGGGATCGCTCGTCTGTTTGACCCGCTTCTCCCCGCTAAGAGTATAGTTAGAGTACAGTGAGTAGAGAAGTAGTTGTGAGTAGTATAGCATGCGCGCGTGTCATGTTGATACGGTATTGGTATTCAAATGCGGCGCTCGGGCCGTTGTGACTGTTCGCCCGGGCAGAATCATGAACCATTACAAACTACACTCTTGTCCATGGCTAAAAGCAGGTTTCAATGTTGCCGCAATATGGTAAACCAACATTGCGAAAAAATTTACCCAAGCAACTTTCAAAATACTTTGGTTCGTGAATCTGGCGAGAGTTGATTATTTCTGTAGAGCCACGCACTCGCTCTCTCACCTCGGTTTGCTAGTTGTGCTGAGTGCTCCTAAAAGTGCCGTCATTTCTGAACAATATTCATCAAACAAATCAATATTGTAGAGAAAGGACATACCTAACTGGTGCCCAGTGAAAATATTTGAACGAAAAACAGTGCTGTGTTGAAAGCATGCAAAATTGTGTTCACGCTAAATACTCAAGAACTGTGCGTCTAAACCAATATAAAACTGTGCCGTCGACATTAGACCAGGTGCATTGTAATGCATATCAGTGAGTGCCATCTTAATGACGTAGATGATGACGTCATCCACAAATCATTACATGTGACAAGTGAGTGGAAATTTCAGTTCTAAGCCGCAATAGCGGCCGGTGACATTAAAAATGAGTGAGAATTCTTAAGTTATGTACACGTAATTGCCAAGCATATTAAAATATTCTGTTACGAATTTTAACCTCCTCGATTAGAATCCTGCTATTCGCTCAAAAGGAAGAAGAAAAGAAAAAATGGTATTAGTATCGTTGAAAGAATTTGTATGATATGTACTTATTTATACCCTGCCCATACCACCACCTTGCACAAATGTGCCGACATGACTGAGGAAATTTCCCTCAGCCAAGTCGTAGCACAGACAATACAGAAACCACTCACGAAGCGTTAGTAATTAAAACGCTGTAATTAAGTTAGAAACTTCGTGATTGATTTAATTAAAAGATTCACCTTTAACTAGCAATCAGTTATATTAAAATAGTTGATAATTAATTAATTTAATAATTACTTTCTTCAAACTTTATATTGAAATAACAAATGTTCATTGATATAAGTTGTACAAAATATTATCTTTGCAACAAAATTAATGGATTTGATATTAATAATTTAAGATTTATACAATTTAACGTTTAGTATGATTTGTTTTGCTTCATTATTCAACATCTTGTACAAATAAACATATCAAAGAATTTACTATTATACCATTATTTGAATATTGTTATAATTTGAATATATATTTGAGATTGAAATTTGTACAAGAAGTTAAATATATAAGCCCAATACTATGAGATATCAAAACACAAATTGAGGGTGCGAATTATAATTGTGGCGTCTAATTCTAAGTTAATTAATCACAGGAGAGCGAGCTTCAGTTCGCAATCCAAGAAGTATATATATATATAGTATAGTTTATATCTCATATTATTGTTGTATATACGATGTTATTGGGTGAGACATGACACGTACCGTCTTCGTGTGTGCGCACTGTGACAGGGTATGAGGCCGGTCCGTCTCCAACGCTGGTCCCGGCCAGGACCCAGATGCGATATTCCGTCCATCGCCTCAGCTCGTCCAGTACAAACGTAGATTGGTTCAATTTCACCACCATGGCCTCGCTATCCCCCCTCCCAGACTCCACACAAAGAAGTTTGTAGTAAGCAATTCTCCCGTTGGCCCTTTCGGCCGGCGGCGGTTGCCATGACACCCGAATCGCAGTCGGCGAAAACGCCACAGCCGTCACATTCATAGGTGGCGCTCCGGGAACTAAACAAGCTCAAAAGTCAAACTACGGTATCGAACCCGTCATCTGCAACCGAAATTGACGTGCGACACGCCGTTAACCCGCCGAGATGCAATCACTGAATGCTTGTCCGAATAAAAGTGTGGCATGCGTGTGTGAGATCCGCCCGCCCATACATTCGTATAATCGTTATGGGCGAAGGATGTGTATGTCGCTGACAATTGTATAGGAAATAAAAAGTAATTCACTCGAGGCGTAGCCCCGTAAAACGTACGAACAACATAAAGCTACAGGGCACGGTGTACGCGGCGGACATACATTTTAGATGAGAATCGATTGTACCGAAGTGCGTCCACCGTGCCTTCACAGATAATCGAGAACGGCTGGATCACTTGTCAACTACGTATACGTTTATTAGCGTCGTATACAGCTCCCTAACCGTTCGTTCAGTGACCCAGCCGGTCTGTCCCACCTGTGTTACCTTTACGAATGTACAATTACAAAACACATAATATTATCGTGATATAAAACTTGTGCTTGTGCTGTATATTACTGGCAGCGTGCCGGGCAGGTGCTTTTATGTGAAATATTACAGTGGATATTACCTGGAAAACGATAGTTACTTCATAATATTACAATGCATACGGAAAGGGCTTCACATAGGCTAACAAATTGTTAATTACTTAGTCAAGTCCGTGCAATTGTTATTGTTTAAAACCGAGCTTTTGTTGTAACGTCGAAAAATCTCAATTTAATATGAAGTACTGTATTAATATATATTCGAGATATTACATAATAAATCGCTAGACCCCTTGATGTAAATATACTTTATAATGTTACAACAAAAACTAAAAATGATATTACAAGTGTAGCCCGTAGCGTTGCATTGTCCTCATGTACATTTCTGTACTCTGAAGTCACATACCGTATTGTTTTGTCCGGACTGCTATAGGTGGCGTTGTGGCGCCTTCGCCCCTTTGGGACCTCGCGGCCAACCAGATGTAGTATAATGTATTGGGGTACAGGCCGTTGAGGGTGTAGGTCTCCGTTATCGGTATCCGCCTAAACACCAATCAAAATTAATATCTTTTTTAAAAGCAAGCCTTTCCTGCTGGCCAAATAGCGTAACGCCGGTGATTGGCTAGATTAAGCCGTTTCGAAAACATCTCTTGTATTTTGAACATGCGAATCAGTGATTTGTTTCTTCAAGCAAAATAATAGTTTTCACTTCAAGAGAACTTGACTATACACTATTAGGTGAAATTGCGTAAAAGTCTTTTAATACGAAAACAAATAATTTATAAAACTAATTGTAAAAAAAAACGACGGGTTGCACTCCAGGAGTGCCGGTAGAAGTGAAAACTTGAATATGAACGTTGTGCATTTTTGATATTTTAGAATGGTTAGGGAATAATTTTGCACGAATTGCTTTAATTATCAGTATAAAAGTACTATCATTTATGTAGTAGAATACAATATTTATTTATTGCGCTATCGTACACAAACATGACAATTTATATTACATTAAATACGCCGCGCCAGCTGTCTACTCTCCATCCGTCTTACGAATTGTCGATCACGTCACGTGTCCTGACGCAAGTTTAAATTTTTTTCCCATTCCAAAAAAAGTGTACAACGCCGCTAAAGAAGTTTTCACTTCTAAAAATTGTTACAATAATGAGGCTAGATTAATTATTAATGATTAACGACAAATGATTAATGGTTAATGACAAATTATTGATACAAAAACGTACTTCTTATGATGTTCCTTCGCATATGTGTCGTTCCAATACAACTCGTAGGAGACAATGTTGTCACCCGCGTGAGTCGGTCTTCGCCAAGACAACGTGACTGATGTCTCTCCCGCTTCTACCACCACAAGGTTCGAAGGTTGGGACGGTACACCTGTTACAAAGCCATTTAAAAGTCTCTCGTATGTCAAATCCAAAAATACGGGTCTGTGTTATATTTTAATACGACATATAAAACAAAAAAAAATTTCGAGGGAATCATTTCATATTTTTAACAGATTTTCAAAGATTCCCCTAGGTTTATCTGACCATCATCATCAGACTACCCTTGAGATATCTCCTTTCCAACAAAAAAATAATCATCAAAATCAGTTTATAAATGACGAAGCTATCCGCGAACACACATAAAAATATATATTTTGAAATCGGTTAAAAATAATACAATATTTTAAAGTATATTCAAGGTTTTAGGAACAAATAACAAGATATACACAATATTTTTTATTGACAGAGCCTTACTTCTACTGTATATCTTAATTAGACCCAATTCGATATTTTAGAACGTCAATCGATAGGGAATCTAGTTTGAAGAACACCCAACCATTTTTTCTAAACTAAAGATTAACTTAAGCTAGCTGGTTCATTACCTTGCTGAGTTTTGACTTGAACAGGTGCAGATATGGGTCCAGGACCAACGGACGTGAATGCCTGGACTCGTATCGTATACACTGTGTGCGGAGTCAATTCGCTGATCGTTGTCAAGTGATTATTATCCATCTATAAATGAACACATAGCTATTTTATGGCAGTAGATTGAGTATTGAACTGTGTATAATATGATATATGTTATATCTAACACTATACTAAGAAATAATTAAATATTGAATATTACTTTAAATAATATCTTAAAGACAATTACTATAGTTAAACCTACCACTATATATTAAGTTCGGTATCGGTTTTAGAGAAAGCATTGTTAATTGCCTATCTCGAACCTAATTCGCTGTTTTGCTGATAATTTTTTTTTTTTAACTTAAACAAAAAATTTTGGTATTCTTATAGTATGCTTATTTTATCTTGTATATATTTTAATTGTATGTTTTCATAGTTTTTTGTAACATTTATGTTTATTTAAAATGTCATAGATTTTAGATAAAAGAGTTAGTAACATACGTCGTAGATTTAGTACTATGTATGATGTGGTAAACTGTAATAAATAAATCTCACCGTAAGCTGATAATATTATTTTATTACTGCTTGCATGTCTAGTCAACAGATGAATTTAAAAAATGTATTTTCTATTAATGATTATTTGCGTGAAATATAATTACAATTAATTTGATAACGTAATAATATATTCATATAATAATATAATAATTGTATATAATGATATGACTCATAATGTATGTAACTTGTATATAAAATTCCTTTTAAAAAAAAAATTGCACGCTATTATGTGTGGCAGAATAATATGCGGACTTTAGATTGTACCACCTTACAAATTTTTGAACCATATTCTTGCAAATAAGTTGTTATTATTATTAAAATAATCAAAGAGTTTACAAAAAAGAAAAACTTCAGTAGAACAGACAGTTTTTATTTATTCTAAATTGAAAATAACCCATCCCCAATCAAAACCATCTGCCCCAAAGAATTAATACTAATACTCACCATTTGCGAGTGCCACGATTGTAGAGATTGCGACGGATCCGACGTATAATAAACCTTATATCCCTGTAAAAACAATTTAAACCTGAAACAACTGAAAAAAAAAACTGTTCGACGAGAAAAAAATTAATGAACGTCGAAAAATGCGATGTATTCCAACGGAAAACATTATTAAAATTCAGAAATTCTAATTTGTGGATGTTTAAAAAGACAATGTTGTGTTAAGGAAAAAAACGTTTTAATAGGACCGTATACTAAAACATCGTTTGTGTACGAAATGAGGATATTACAATGTGAATATAATAATAATATTTGTATAACACACATATTAGACTGCGTACTACGGCAGGAATATTGACAGAAATAATTTGATGATTTTACTTTGTTCAACATGTATATGAATATTAACTTGTAACTAAGGTTGCCCGGAAAATATTGCTTATTAGCGATCAGGCCGGAGTATATATTTCGTTAACAATTTTTGTATTGTGCAATGAAGTGTGAATAAATTAAAAATATATATATCAAGAAAAACTTTCGCCAGCTCCAAAGCTCCTATTGTTTTTAATTACTCTTAGTTATTTTAAATGCTACTTTAGCAATAAATAATTTTATATTGTCATCTACTTATAATTTTATTCTTGTTAACTATGTATGTATCTTGTACTTTCCCCCTAAGCATTTCTTTTTGTCCATACTAGAGTTGACTGGAAGATATCGAAACATTAACAAAGCAGTGAAAGAATTAATGTCAGATAACGGAAGTAAAATATTTCAAAACTATTGCTAAAACATACCGTTACTTGACCGTTAGGAGTCTCCGGTTCATCCCATTGAATGACCATGGTGCTGGAGCTCAATGGTCGAACTTGGACATTGCGAGGGGCTGACCCGGGTTCTGAAATAAATATAATTAAGAATCTTCACTCTCACCACGCGATTCTGGCCAAATAAAAAAAATATATTTGGTTCTAATTCTATACATAAAGATATATTAAGAATGCCCCATATTACTCGACTAAATATTATAAATACATAGTTTGAGGGGACGATAAAATTGTAAATATCATTACATTATAATCTATCTCGCGATAGTATAAACTTTCGAATGATTCGAGAAATACTGTTCTCAATTTTACGCATTAATTATTGATACTTTATCAACGAGTATGAGATGGCATAAGCCGCAACGCACTTCACGTCCTGCGCTGGTACATGTAACTCCCAATAGCGATAGCGATTGAGATTCTGACAACAATGTTCACTGTTTATCGGGACATCCCAAGTTTACAAAATCAGCGCTACGAATGAGGGATCTACATCGAATACACAAAAACTTCAATGATATCACCTCGGCCTTAAATAACAACTAAATATAGCGGCTGCATATAGCAAGACATTATAATGTAACAGTATTTAAATTTTACATATATGATAATATGTATATATATTTTTAATACTACACACTACACAAGTGAAATATGTTTAAGCCCGTGGCACTACTCTTAGTGGTGACCTATCCCAACTAACGCTTGAAATTACTAAGTTCTCAATAATAAGTTAAAAATAAACGCTTCGTATAAATGCGAAGCGGTTGTGAAAGTAATAACTCCGACCTTGTCTCGTCTCAATTAACTTCAAAAATAAAAAGGGGAAACAATAGTCCTTAATAGGATTTATAATGGTCAGAGACCCGAAAGAAAGTCAAAACCGTCTTTGTTTATGACAATGCTATAAAAACCATAATCTTGTTTGAGGGTCGACCAACTTCCCTTTATTAGTTATGTTAATATTTATAGCAACCCCATTATCATCTCGTCAAAGGCAATTTTAATATTTCGTCTCCCTAGACACTGTTGTAATTTAAGTCAGGAAAATGCGGTTATAACGAAATATTTCCAAAAGGTATTAAAATTTATCAAGGCTGATTTACACCAATACCTAAAGGCCACTCAAATATAAGAGCGTCTTAATATATAAATAAAAATATTGAGCATAGTGAAGAGTGATAAAAGTCTTGGTCAAAGCTCGTATCTAACAAGAAACTCTTAAAATACAGTATACTTTTAGGGACTCCTTAGTGTGACTATGTTTGTTTTAGGAAATAGTTTACTCATGCAGGTGTTTAATCCTAAAAATGTTTACTTACTGGCACCTCCATATAATGAATCCACTGGAAGAGATTGCAAGAAAAACATCATTAATAAATCGTATAATTCAACACTTAGTTCACACACAGGTGCAGTAGCAGAAAAAGGGTTTTGGGAACATCGTAAAAGATATCGAAATGGTGCATGAAATGAAACTCAAAACACGCACTACATCTAAATCTACAAAAACTCATAATAAAAGTGCCAAATAAAGGAGAATAAAAAAGAAATCCAATCAAAATCCATTCAGAAGCGAACTTACATGTCATGGCGAGCGTTGTAACGTCGCGTTTAACGTAGGCATGAAATCGACCAAAACAAATATCTTAGAACTGAGAAACGGCGAAAAAGAAAATCTATTTATTCGATCTAAAGCAATTTAGAAAGTAGATAGTATTGTAAGCGAAGAACCAAATTAAATTAAGCGATGATATGCGTTGGAGATTGTTTAGTTAGAAATATTGTGAATGTACAATTTGTCAGTATCTTTTTTTTTTTTTAAAGACACCCACACCAATTTGACCTAGTCCCTTGCTAAGCTGGTGACTTGTGTTATGGGTACTAGGCAACGGATATACATACATATTATATATAGATAGACATATAAATACATATTTAAACACCCAAGACCTAAGCACAACATCAAATGCTCATAATCGATTTCGTCTCAGCGGGATCGAACGTGACCCATGGTTTCGCAGTCAGGGGTACTAACCACTAGACCAATGAGTCGTCAGTATCTTACAGACTTCTGAATCAACCTGTTAAAAAATACTCTACCTCCATAGCTTGTAACGTACAAATTTGAAAAAAATGTACAAAATTGAATCGTGATCCATCGGATTGTTAAAGTTTTTACTATAGATGAGTGTTTCATGGGCTCAAAGGAAAAGGACTCAGTAGAAAGTGCCTACTATGAACTTAACGGCTTAAAAAAGAAATGTGTGGTATAAATGGTAGATGTAATATGGTTTATTTATTACGTTGATGCAATAACACATGTGATTTGATGTAGACAAAGACTTCTTAGTTAGGCTAGAATGTTTGTACATGTCTAGGAAATAGATCCATGAAGAAAGACATATATCTAATTTATCAGCCAGAAAATATTAAAGACTATCAAAGAATATTAAAGACTATTGTAAAGATAATTGGCGCTTCTCGGCCAACAAAGTCCACCATCAAATGTTGCGCTCGACGTCAATTTTGATGCTTTATTGTTAAAATTTGAAGCAAAGAAGAAAATGGAAAACCTAGACTGACTTAAAGTAAAATCCATTTTCATTTCATATTAAAATTCGTGGTTGAAAATTGTCAATAGTTTTCGTCAGTACTTGAGCCTATGTGTTGAGATCCCGTAACAAACGGTGTATAACAGTTATAATAAATTGATTGATTTTGATTAAAAGATACACTGCAATTTAATTTAGGGAAAAATCTAAGGATACGTATGCAGAATCTTTCTGGACTCTATGAAAAAATATATATTTAAAATATAAGTGGCCACAACCCTTGGTATCAGCATTAGAGATCTATTTTTTGTAATATGTTTTTTAGTTGGAACTTTGTGTCACTTATCTTTACGGTGATTACTGATTTCCTTCACCAGGCAAGTATAATTGCGCGCATACAAAAATCCGTTGGTGCACAACTGAACACTCCGGGTGGAGAGCCATTAGACTAGCAAATATTTGTTAAATTAAAACGTATTTACTCACACAAAACATAAAGCTTAATATTCCTACATTTGTAAAATATGCGGCGCTAAAATTAAGTTTCAGTTGTCCGTCCTTTATAGAAAATGTTAAAATTATTTCTTGCGAAAGAAAAAATGAGTTTTGTAACTACCGGCTTCGTCACTTCCTTTTAAAAGAAATTCAGTTTATTTGAAGTTAAATTTGTCACTTTTCGGTAAATGAGAATTCTTGTATTTTTAAACGCATAACATTTAACAAAATATTTTCTTTTATCATATTAAAACTTATTTTCAATACACACGTATCAGCATTTGCTACTATTGTGTTTGCTAATAATTCGTCTTATTTGCGTCCAAATAATGAAACCAATAACAGGAAGCCGATTTTATAATTAGTAGTACATTTCACTTAACACCAGAACTTATTAATATATTAAAATAAGTATATATTGTGAATGCTGATCAGACTGATAAACTAACATGACTGAATCACTGATTGGACTGATAAAAAGTTTTTCATTTCAGTAAAATCGTTTAATAAATTCTAAGGACTATGAAATCTTTTCCCTTATTCATACTACTGTACTTTTTCAATTAAAGTACTCATTTATCTCTTTCTGTCAAATCAACTTTACGATGTGATGAAGAGACAGAACAATTCAATTTGATTTATTTTATAAATTAGGTAATAAAACTTAAATATATTTTGGTTGCAAATTTGAGTCCTTTAACTGTGCGGATCAAATTAAAGCAGCAATCATGCCTTTAGTAACTGATTTTACACTTAATTTTAGATTTTACTCAAGTATTGGACATTTGATTGAAAAAATTTCATAAAATAACTTTTGACAGCGTTTGAGCGTCAAACGTCAAATTTTGCAGAAAGGCATGAACTTTGACAATAGTATTGAATACAACGAGATTTGAGCGACATAGCCAATGATTTGACCGACACATAATTCCTTAAAAAAATCGACACAAGACTAAGATTTAAAGATTTTAAATATTGCTAGTAAAATAAGCTAAGCTAAACATACCAGTTTCTCCAGTTGTAATAACCGCGGGTTCCGACGCCGGGCCTCGACCAATATTGTTTACAGCAATCACATACATTTCATACTCAGTGTACGGCGATAGATTCGTCACTGAGTAGTACTGAGTTATCACACCCGATATTTCGCTGAATGCCTGAAAAAGGTTGTTGATAAGTTTAAACCATATTCAGCGACGTTACATAACATCAAAGTTAGAATGGAATTGGTTAACAGGTGTTTAATCGAAACAGGTATATAGGCAGCGAAAAGAGTGAGAGTACTCATTTATAATAATAATTAATATACTTTTAACAATAAAGAAGTTCCAAAATAACATAAATAATTACAGTAATCAATCTAGATTTTATAATAAAACTATTTTATTCTATTAAATTCTACTCGTAGTAGTTTTGTATAAATTTTATTTAAATAAAATTTGACTAAAAATAAAAGAAAATTGAGTATTCAAATTATATAAAATATGTACCTGGTTAGCATATTTAGGTTTATATTGTATGACGTAGTATTGTGGTTCTTCTGGCCCGTTATATGTCCACGCCAGACGCACTGTAGTTGCCGTGATCTCGGACGCCCTCACTTCCATAGGCGGTCCGGGTAACGCTAAAACGTATTATATTATTACCTTGAACATAAATATATGTTTGGGATTAAATATTAAAAATTTAAGCAAAAATTTAAATGACCGTGAAACATTAAATTTTTCCGTTTGTATAACGATTTTGTGCACCTACCTCTTTGAAAAAATTTATCAAAATTGGTTTAGCTTTTTATGTTAGAAAATACTAGTATTTTCAGCATTAATTAAAACGGTTACGTATGTAATACGATAATGGTATAAAAGTAATCTACCCTAGATATCACATGCACAGTACATCTACGCTTGCTACGTCTCGGTAGTCTACGGCGTAGCAAATATCGTAGCATTATAGAACGTATATAAATTTGCTCAAAATATTACCTAAGAGTGAATCTTAACATTTACGGTCTATTAAAATACCTTTTTGGGTCTTTTAAAGTCGTTTTAAAAGTATATTAATTATTTTAAAATACTAAGTAACTTTTAATGAAGGGATTTCACCCGTCATTAATTACTCTTAATAGCGAGCGATATGCCCTCATTTGGACAAATCGTGTACGCTAAGCTTCTTAAACGCATCTAAAAATAGGAAACCCAATTGACGGGGCTGAAAGTTTGAGCAGGATTTGTTCTCCGTACTAAATAACCCAGATACCGGCCTAATCCGTTCCGAATTCCGTTGTGACCGCACTGCAGTAAAAATCACTTAATTTTTTTAATCAACATTAACATCGACCACAAGCTTTCGAAATCCATATAATATTGATATTGTATTATAGAAGTTATTCTAAAAAGCTTATAACTAAAACATTAATTTCTTTACAACAATCAAACATACTTAGTTTTTCTTAGTTAAGTTCTATATGAATTAGTAACAAATTTACCTATTGGCAGTAGCGAAGGCCACAACAGAAAGTTTCAAAATAAACCGAATGTTTTAAACTAATTTGATTAAAAAAAATAAAAGATATCAGGATTTTAAATTCGCAGAAAATATCAAAATAATGAGGTTTCACAAGGCAACAAATGCTGACACTGTGCAGCGTGAGGCACATGTAATTCTTATAAATTACGAAATACAGATTCCATGTCATATTAGACATGAAATTGTATACCGATGATTCATCAATCAATCAATCATCGGCAAAGAAGACAGAGGGTGTAGGCCGAGAGAAAAAGCCGGCGTAAAAAACTCTCGGTACTCTTTTTAAATATTGCAAGTGATACATTCTGCCTATTCTTACTAAATGCCACACTGGATGTTATGCAATTAAATAAGCTATTCATTGCTGCATTCTTTACGTACTATATCTATATGTATTAAGTGACTACAACTTCTTACTAAACCATAATTAATTGTTTTATAAGAGATACTTGATCTCATATTAGTTCATCTCATAATAATTTTGTATTTTGTTTCGCCTTTGGCTTACAGGAAAAACGGTAATGCGGTCAAACACTTAGCGAAAAACGGCCGAACAATAATTAATCATTAATAAGTCGCCTCTTGGGCATCTCTAAGTTTTCAGTTTATAAATTATATTTTCAAAGACGGTTGAAAATCATCGCAATTTGTCAAATTGATTTTTGAATATAATTTTGGGAAGTGCTTTGTTTTATCAATTAATTTTGACTTAGTCTTTCAATGGCACATCAGGATTATAAATGTACTGAATTTGTTTTAAAATTAGCATATTTATGCTCTTATATATTTTTTGTTGGTGTAATATTATATAAATTATCAATATTGTTAATAAATACTAACATTGAACTTTGACCTCAGCAGTTGCGTCAATAACTCCGAGAACACTGGCCGCTTCGCACGTGTAGTTCGCAGATTCCCTGATATCCTCTAATTTCAACGTGTTTATACCTAACGGAGGGTTGTCTTCGGGCGTCAGCCATTTTGTCAAACCTGCAACATACAAATAATACAAATATAAGCCAGCTTTTACTAAGCTTTCAGTTTTATTTACCAGCGTGTTCTGGTATTTTTATTTTATTGTTTCGGAGTGTCGTCTCCACAACACTTCAAATTCTCGAAACACAGTAACAAATTATAAGAAACAAATGAAAAACGGCTACAGAAAATAAAAACATACACCCATATGTTACTTATTCTACCAACCGAACACAATAATTCTTTGTATGACATCTGACTCGAGGACTCAGTTATACGGCTCACTATTCAGGCACCGAATCGCTAAATAACAAAATAAAAGTAAACCTGTGGCGCTAAAACCTTTTTAGGTACGGGCATCAGATTTCTGTATCTGTTTTATGCTCAATTCTCAATCTAATAGGCAAGTAGGTGATCAATCTCCTGTGCCGGCGTCGACTTCGAGGTCTAAGTCGAGCCGGTTTCCTCACGATATTTTATATATAGTCAAAAGGTCCATTGGTGCACAGCCGGGTTCGAACCTACGAACTCCAGGGATGAGAGTCGCACGCTGTAGCCACTAAGCCAACAATGCAACAAAATAATAAGGCTTAGTAAAAATAGATATACAGTAACGGAAAATCTTTCAACCTTAAAATAAATTTAATGCCCAATTAGTATGGGCAGTGAAAAACCTTTTTTGCTTCCGATGGGATTGAATTAATTTAATCAAATTTCGTCAGTAACCGTTAGCTCTTTTGATTATTTAGTGCTCCTAACGACCGCGGCGGCGTAAATAAATATCAACAAAAAACAATGGATGATCACAGACAAGTCAAGTTTTTACGACTTACCTTTTCTCCATTTAACAGTAGGCATAGGCGAACCGACGGCAACACACTTCAACGTTAGATTCCCGCCCAGCATCACTTCGGTCCGAGGGGGAGGCGGAATCGAGAACTGCGGGGCGACTCTTCTCACTGAAAATAAAAAAGAAACAGTCAACTTTTAAGTTTGAAAACAAACGGCATTTTAAAACATACCATTTTAACTGCCAAATTCGACATTTCGAAAGATGACAGTTGTTAACTGTCAAAATGTAAGTAACAAAAAAATGTTACAAAATTGCAGAACCAAACAAGAAATATGATTTAATTTAAAAATATATTTTTTACGTGGATAAAGCATTTATGAATATTAAACTTTCCATGAAGAGAACAATACCGAATTTAATTGAGTTACAGTCGAATTATTCTGTCTAATTAATAATAATCTTGGGCTAATTTGCAATTAATAGCAATTGTACTGACTAATTAATGAGTCACATATATGCAGCATTAAAGACTTGTCAATTTGTATAAACCATATCTTACATAATATATAATCTTAGAAAACAATCTCCACAGAGCAAGTCGGACCGAGTGAGGGGTAACAGAGAGGAGTAGAACTGGGAACACCGGGGGTATTCTGCGATTGGCTCTCGGACGTGACGGACGCTTTAGTGTTTTATTTTTTATTGAGTTGTGTCAAATATTTTTTCTGGTTGAATATAATTTTCATTGTTGTAATAAGTTATTAAAAATTGTTTTGTAAGGAATAAAACTTCCTAGGTTGAGTGTTTTGTTTCTTTTAATATTTATCGTTTGTGATTTCTAAGATCAGAAGTGGGATCGCCACGCGTTATAGACCGTTTTCCATCTAAATTCAGTGTATATTAATGTTCACTTCTGGAGGAACCTCATCTCAACCAGTGCCAACTTATCGCTTGATACGTGGAATTGGAAGTCAAGAAATTGAGCCGACTTCTCTAGTTACGACAGTTATAGAATTTCCTGAAGTGTCATTAGAAATAGATTTATTTGTTGTTCCTTCTCAGTGCATAAATGCACCCATTTTGATTGGTATCGCCATCCTGAATCAAAAGGTTTTGACATACATTCGAAGTAATGGAGAACAGCGGCTTGTGAAGACTGGTATTGTGCCGACTTTGCAGCATTAATTGACTCAGAAGTTGAATACTTGAGGCGATTGATTGATCATGGTCAGGTTAGGCCGAGTCTGGGGAAGGTCGATGCACTTATTAGATCTCCAAAACCCACAAATGTCAAGGAGGTTCGCCAGTTTCTAGGCTTAGTGGGATATTTCCGTCGTTACATATCGGGTGATGCTTCTAAGACGGCATGTATAGCAAAGTTGTTAAGACAAGGGTTACCATTTTTGTGGATTGCTGAGCTGGATACTGCTCGCGATTATATAATTCACTGTTAGACAAATGAACCGGTTTTAGCGATATTCAATCCCCAGTTGCCTACGGAACTTCACACCGATGCAATTGCTATTGGTCTTGGTGCTAATTTATTACAAGAACACGCCGGTAGGAGAAAGAGGATTGTCGGTTATTTTAGTAGGTCCATCCAGGTCGCAGAGTCACGGTACCACGGCTATGAGTTGGTGACGTTAGCTGTCGTCGTACGTGCAGTCCAGCACTTCTGCCACTATTTGAATGGTATAACGTTTAAAATAATGACTGATTACAACTCATTAAAATTGACGGAGCGTTATGCTTATGTTATGGTTATGGTTTGTGGATTCAGTTTCCGCACTTAGACTCTCAGTAGGTCCGTTGTGCGTAAAGTCCTGGCTAACTAAGCCAGCCTAACTCCTTCCAGAAGCATAGGAGTCTCCTGGGCACTTCGTAGGCTTCACGGAGCGACCTCACTGTTCCGAGGATTTCTGCACGTTGTTTAGCGACAGCCTCGCATGATGGACTACGTGGGTGACTGATTCCTCTGCGCTGAAACAGCCTTTGCACAGGGGGCTGTCTGTCGCGCCTAGGACAAAAAGATGTTTGTTAAGGAGACAATGGCCCGTAATTGTCCCTATCATTGTTTTGAGATTGGTTGTGTTTAAGTTTAGAAGTTGAGAGAGCTATTTTGGACTGTCTGCAGTCCGCACTTCGCTACCATCGTTGATGTTGAAGTTCCTTAGATCTTTGGTGAACTCAGGTTCGCACCTGCGAGAAGGGCAAGGGAAGAAGCGGAAATGGGCGGTTGGAGCGACACACTCGCAATGAAAGATCGAGCTGTGTGTGCCCAAATAAGGGTGTATGTTGATGTTAAGATCCAGAGAGAATATGCCAGCGCCGGAGCCACACCCTGTTTTTGAGTCATCGGTATATATGCGTAGCTCATCCAGGGTTGATCGGTCACATCCTTCTTCTCTCATTTACACATGGTATTTCCTATTGAGCATGTGTTGGTTTGCAATCCTATCACATGGCGCGGCTATTAGAGCCAGTGCTGCCTCCTGCTGTATGTGTAGGTCCAGGGGTACAACTTGCAGGGCTATCTCTAATGCTGCAGTTGGCATTGTTTTCATGCAACCGCTAGCAGTGGACAAAGCAAGCCTTTGAAAGCGTCCAAGTTTCCAGACCAGACCAGGGCTCATTGTCGGAGCGTAAAAAGGATTTGTTGTCTCGAGTTGCCCGCTGATGGGTATATTTACAAGATTTTAATTTTACTTTAGATTATAGAAAAGGGGCTTTAATGCAACATGCTACGTGTTGAAGTAGGCAACAAAGGTTCCCAATGGTCCGATGTGCTGTGAAGGATACCTACAGCTCACTTTGGAGGAACATCTCCAAGCAAAGTACCACGCAGACTTCACCACTTCAGTTACTGGTCGGTATTGACGCAGTCACTCCAGTCTGATGATTGGAGTAACGATCTGATGATCGTTAGTATGAGATGTAGCAATTACTAACTCTAATCCCAATCGGGAGGCTCTCTTAACTCTTTGCAGACAATGAGCTTCCGAACTGCTTGCAACCGGTTGACGATAGCCGCACGCCTTTGCTGTCGCAGACTTTGTGTTTGTGAGCAAGATTGCACAAATCACCGGCAAACTGGACTCCGGCATTCGCGGGCCTTACAAGGTTATTCGCGCGCTACCGTGCCACTGCTACGAGTTAGAGCTACTAGCTGGTTCCTGGTGTTGTGGCAAGGCGAGTGGACGCCGGATGCGTGCTGAGTTTTCTTCGAGACTGGACTTTGTGGTGCTAATGTGTTAAGACCACTTTGAGAACCTACAAGCGTATGGGTCTCTGTTTTAAATTTTTGTGGTGCTAATGTGTTTAGGCCACATAGAGAACATGCAAAGGTATGGGTCTCTGTTTCAAATTTTTGTGGTGCTAATGTGTTTAGGCCACATAGAGAACATGCAAAGGTATGGGTCTCTGTTTTAAATTTTTGTGGTGCTAATGTGTTTAGGCCACTTAGAGAACATGCAAAGGTATGGGTCTCTGTTTTAAATTTTTGTGGTGCTAATGTGTTTAGGCCACTTAGAGAACATGCAAAGGTATGGGTCTCTGTTTGAAATTTTTGTGGTGCTGATGTGTTTAGGCCACTTAGAGAACATACAAAATGTATGGGTCTCTGTATTAACAAATTGCCGCTTATGAGAGCACTAGAAGCCGCTGTCGTTACGACAGTGTATTGCAAGATACTGAGTTTTATTTTTATTCGTGTTAAGTCTGAAGCTATCTAATTCTGTAATATTTGCTTTTTGATAGACCTTAACTGTGTGCGCTTGAGTGCACGCTTGCGCACATAGTACTGGTAATGGAGAAATAGAGATAAATGTCATTTTTCATCCCTCTAATTCAGGATATATGCTTCAGGCTATGACACGAAACTAGGTAGATTACTACAAGTTCCCTAACAGAGACTGCGCTAGACAATTATGAGCAGGTTGCAAGTGATGCTGCGGTCGAGGACGCCGCACTGTCAGGAACGGCCGTCTTAGAAAACAATCTCCACAGAGCAAGTCGGACCGAGTGAGGGGTAACAGAGAGGAGTAGAACTGGGAACACCGGGGGTATTCTGCGATTGGCTCTCGGACGTGACGGACGCTTTAGTGTTTTATTTTTTATTGAGTTGTGTCAAATATTTTTTCTGGTTGAATATAATTTTCATTGTTGTAATAAGTTATTAAAAATTGTTTTGTAAGGAATAAAACTTCCTAGGTTGAGTGTTTTGTTTCTTTTAATATTTATCGTTTGTGATTTCTAAGAATAATATATATAAATAATAAAACGAAACTATTTTGATATATATGAAACAAAAGATGGTTGTGACAGAATTGATCTAACGCTAGTATCCACGCCATGTTTAAAAAAAAATTAATATAAGGTATTCTTAACGCTAATCAAAAAATCGTATTAGACCTGAGTATGCGTGAGTGTAAGCGTGTGTGAATGGGTGTGTGTTTGTATAATACGGTCTGTATTTGTGAGTGTGGCTGAAAGTTGTTATAAGCGTGTACTGTGTCTGATTTTGGAGCCTAAGAGTCATGCCAGAACATGTAACGCGTCTGTAGAACCAACATCCAAATCGGGTAGCATAATGAATCAAATAGTTTTCATATGCACCTTCTAGTTAGATGTTGACGCTATCAAAATAAATTACTAATCCGAACACAAGTAACTTTATTATTTATGTCTAAGTACATACGCGGCACGGCCGCAGAGCAGGCGGAAAATAGAAAACAGCTGAAATATAAGAGTCTTTCCTCCAACTTTGATTTTGTTCCCTTTGGAGAAGACTCTTGGACCGTGGGGTTCAAGTGCACAGGCGCTTATTAAATATTTAAGTTGCCGTCTGGTAGATAGTACCGGTAACCACAGACCTGGTGCTTTCCTCGCCCAACGAATAAGTATCGCAATACAGCGAGGAAATGCCAGCATTAAAGTTACACTGCCACAGCAACCAAAGTTTATAAATATGTTTTAATGTTCTATTCATCAATTTTTAATTATTATTATTACCACGTAGGTTAAGAGTTTTGTAAATACTTTATATGGAAATAGATCGATTTACGTACACATTAAATGTAACCTTTAATAACGGCTCAAACCTATTCAACCAAATGCTTCAAATATGACAACAATAGCTTTCGTTCAATCATCGTCTCAAATTTCATA